ATATATATATGATATATTTATGTGTATATACATGTATATATGTACATTATAGTATATGTGTAAGTAAGTTTAATAATAATAATATATGTTATTAATTTTACAATATAATATATGCATTTTATACATTGGTCACCATTAGGACTAGCTAATCCTCCCTTTCCACATGGGATTAGTAGTCCCCTCCTAAGGAGGTGTTTTTGGTGGGCCCGGTATTAGCAATCCCATCTAAGACTAGGATTAGATAAAACAAACATGATACTAAATTTAGTCCAAGCCAGTCCAAGCCAATCCTGTGTACCAAACGAGCCCTAAGGATGCAAATGGGGTCTAACTAGTGAAAAAGGGTCTTGACTTGCAAACTAGAGATCTCATGTTCAAATCCCCACGACATCATAGTTGTGTGTGTTTGTGAGAAATTCCTCTCCCATATAGTTTACAAACTATAAGGATTTAAAGTGATTTTTTTTGACTAAATAACATAATTTAATTGATTATTAATTAATTAATCAATTAATAAACAAGTACTAACGAGCAAGCTCTGAGAGAGTCTGAGAGACTGAACTTCCTTCTTTATAAAGGCTCAAACTTGAAAGAGAGATCGTAATTCACATAGAATTTGAGAAATCTGTGATCAGAAATGTCAACAGAGAGAGAGAGGCACGCTTCGTTGCCCTCAACGTCTCCCGAGGACAACGCACTGTAAGTCTTCCTCAATCTTCGTTGTGATTGCCACACAATGTGTGAATGTGTTCACTTTCTGCTACCTGATTCAAAAATCACTGCTTTGGCTTCCATTGCTTCACTTTCAGGTTTCTGGATATAATGCATGAGGCTCCATTGTTCGGTCACCGGAAGTCGAGAAGCCTTTTCGGAAGTGTTTTTTACTTGATTATACTCGTAGGCTATGCTTCTCTGGCTGTCGCATCTCCATGGATTTTTCATCCCATACGCAATTTAATCCCGCAATTGCTTTGCAGTTGCAACGTCCTTCTTCTGATAGTCACAGGTTTTTTGTAATTTTTGATCTGGGCATTGTTCAATTATAGCGAATTTTACTGTTTACACATCAAAATTGAATCTTTGATGCACTAGAGCTTGTATTTAACGTTTTCAGGCATCTTTCAGCAGTATCTGGTATACCAAGTTCAGAAAATACGCTTACAGGTAACCTTTTTGTTTAATTAGTTTTCTATTTCCTAGGATGGAACCCACATTATACACAAATACAACTTCCGAGTGGCTACACCCGTTGAACTGAAAGTTTATGTTGGTGCAAAAGTGTCATCAACACCAAAAGTTAGTTTATGGGGGATTAATCTTCCCCCGAGTTTCAGAATTGCGTATTCCGAGTGGGAGTGACTCTGATAAACTTATTAAATGGATCAAGCTTCTAAACTGCACTCCTGTTTCGGTATTACTTGTCCGGTAGTATTTTTTGTGTTGGGATGCTAAATTTTGCTGTTACATAAGCTACAACTTACTTGGTTTGTTAACCACGAGATGCACATTGTTTCACAGGGGTATTATAGTTTCAGCCAGAAGTTGAAGCATATTGTTCGCCTACCTTTTGCAGCTACTTCATATGGTATGCCGGTTTGTGTTTGAGTTGTTTCTTTGGTCTCTTTTTTCCCCCTCCGTCTTGAAATATGTGGTGGTTTCCAAATTTTATCATTGCAGAGACTACACAAAAGTGCCAGTAAAATATTTTTATTATCATTATTATTTGAATTTGGTTTCTGATATATTGCTTGAATTTTAGGAACTGCTGCAATGTTACTTGTCATGGTCTGGAGACCCCACATCAGTTTCCTTACTCTGCCTGCAATTTTGAGGTATCAACACCAACCTATGATGCTGAGCATAATCATTTCTTAATTAGAATATGTATCTGTCATCTCCTTTCCAGTTTCTTTACCCCTTTTCAAATCCATGATTTCAACAACATTAATGATTTCAAATTCTGGCCCAGGAAATCAAGATGTTGTGTAGACTTTGGTTGGATAAATTTGATATGAAAACTAGTTTTATGAATTGGCCCATGACTGAATATTGATTACCCTTAAATTTTGCAGGACTGTTATGGTAATTGAAGCAATATGTGCCGGATCTTTTATGAGTCTCTATATTGGTGAGTTTGTGTGCATTTGGGAAGTGCATTTTAATTACGAAGTTTGAAGTATTTATCAGGTTACTTGCTAGCTTACTTGGGGAACTTTTTTGGTTGTCATGCTGGAGAGTGGAGGCTTAATATGGGATCCTGTCTTATAAGGGATTTTTTTTTTTTGGATCAAATAAGGGATTATTTTTTAGTCAGACATTATTTAGGTGATTTGAAAAGCCTCTTTATTCCCTAATTTTATGCCCAAGAGATTTAAAATTCTTCCATTTTACTGGATGGAATTTCAATGAATTAGATTCACAGGGCATTTGGTATACAATTATTTCATCCTGGTTATGTGAAAAAGTTATCCTTGCACTCAAACATTGTACTTAATCCTGTATTTTTATCATTTCTTGCACAAAGTAGAGCTCCAACAAGCACACCTATATACAGAACATGAGCTCTTATATTGATTGTAGTCACATCTCATTTATTTTTAATTCCGGTGTTTCCAGGTTATGTTCACCAGTACAACTCATTAAATTCCCAGCCTGATGTCTTAAAGTCATTATATTCTCCTCTTCAACCCTCAAGTTCTTTGGAAGGTTTGAGGTAATCATCTTTTTTTTTTCTTTTTTTTTTTTCCAGTGATATCCTATAATCTTGCTTCCAACCTTTATAAGAATGGAAGAGAGATACATCACAAGAATTTCTAACAGTTCATAACAGAAGATACTTGGATGAACTGGAAACTGCTATATTTCATGCATCCTAATGGAAGAAGTTTCTTTTGCTCGTGCACATGCAAAGAGGCATACACATTAATACTTCAATTAAAAGTTAAAACTGATGCGATATGTGTTGTGACAGGTATCATGATGCTGGTCGACTCTCTGATCAGCAGATGGCTTTGTTGCAATATCAGCGTGAAAACCTTCATTTTTTGAGTGAAGAGGTATCTCATGGTGTATTATTGAGATTGGTGGTTGTATTATTGCACTGAATCTTCTAACATGCAGTTCCTTCAGGTTTTCGACTAATGCTTTTAGTCACTGAAGTGTGGCATGGGAAATTAGGTGTTCCATGTTGCATATTAAGTTTTTCTAGTCGACTTTTTATTATTGTATTATTTATTCTTATTCTAAACTTGTATAGATCCTTCGATTGCAAGAGTGCTTAAGTAAATATGAACGGACTAATGATGGAAGCACACCTCAGGTAATTAATTTCTATTATTGAAGTACTCTGTTGAAAAGGAAAGGCTCTTGAAGTGATTTCTAACATGGACATGCATATTTTAGGACTGCATGCATGCTTGCATACCTGCCATAGTAATTTAAGCAGTGATCTTGTTTCATGCTATTTGTTATATGAAAAATGATCAGAGCAATGCTTACCAGTGTCTGTTTTTGCAGGTTGACCTTGCCCATCTATTGGCAGCTCGTGATCAGGAACTACGGACGGTTTCTGCTGAGGTAATACCTGGTTTGAATACCAAGTGGGTTTTGCTCTTGATACTTTATGAAAAATCAAAGGTTGTTAGTTTGATGCAGTTAGCTGATATCATCAGAATGAATATTTGAATGTTTCATATGTTGTTGTCTTCTACATCACATAATCAACGTTAATAGTTAACTCAGAGATATATTTACATTGCAGATGAATCAATTGCAGTCTGAGTTAAGGCTTGCTCGGTCGTTGATAGCTGAGAGGGATTCTGAAATCCAGAAAGTTCGGACGACCAACAATCAGGTATCCTACTGTATTAACTCTTAATGTTCAATATTAAATATTTGGTTAATATCTGCCCGAAACCCTAAAAATCCTGTGAATCAAACCTCATGTTTATGCAGTTAGATTCTTGTATTGCATAGTTTTTGTCTATTCTTCGGTTTCCTACCCATTTTAACTAATATTTGAACAGTACGTAGAGGAGAATGAAAGATTGAGAGCCATTTTAGGAGAATGGAGTACCCGAGCAGCAAAGGTATTATCACCCCTCCTTAAGTTATTTGTGAATAGCTATCCACTTTGTCAATGTAGTTGGCTTATCATTTTTCTTGCCATGAAATTTTTTGCTAATAAATATGATAATTTGTGATATTAAAGCTTGAACGAGCATTGGAGGCAGAGCGGATGTCCAATCTTGAATTACAAAAGAAGATTCCAACGCTCAGAAGTCAATCACAATCCTCATCTGAACCAACCAAGTAGCTTGGAGCTTCATCACTTTTTCTAGACGTGCATATTTGTAATTCTCTTCCTTTCATTTACTTTAGTTTGGGAGAGAAAATTTAGGAGGGAAAATGGACGCGAAGCATTACACTTGTACATAACATTTGTGAAGAAATCTATCAAAACAAAGCTGTAACTCTTTTTCAAAAACCAGCAGGTAATGCGGAAGGATTTGATTACAACTTTTCCATTGTACAAGACATAAGGGAATAACTTGTGGGTTTGATGACCCAAAACTGCCGATATGCAATCGTTACAATTCTGTTTGGTCCTCTATAGCTCAATTACAATGGGCTAACATGAGTTGTTTCGTTCAAAAAGAGACAACCAAAGACATAATTGTAAAAGTCACGGCCTCTAACTACTTCCTTGTCTCCAACTATAGCCTCCATATCGTATTTGCATGCTCTTCCACAGTCAGGACAGTAGGTCACCTACAAAGCGATCAAAATTGCATTATTTGCACATCACTGTTTGAGACTAGCACGAAAGTGTGTCCAGCAATCCCTCATTTTGCAGAACTTTGGACTTCAGTAAGTACCCTCATTGATACTAAAGTGAAGAATCAGAAAAAGATGATGTTGCTTAAAATACACATACCTCCAGTAACTTTGGCTGGAAAGAACTGTCAAGCATGACATCCACCCCATACATTGCCCTCGACGTTGTACTATGCATCTCTGGATGTACTTGTGCAGCTGCCTCAAAGACTGATCGGATCATTTTCTTAACTCTCGAATGAATATCCAACCAGTTAACTGCAACAAACACAGAATCAACGAAAGAAGTTAGTCAAGTACGCTTAGCATGCTAAAAGCCTAAAAACCTTTTCTCTTGAGGGTGAAGCAAGCAAACAAATTCAAACTGGACATGCCCCTTATACCTTGGTGCTCCTGTTCAAATTCCCTCACAAACTCCGATGTGTTCTTGTGATTCAATGTCCCTCGGTAGTTCTGAAAGCCATAGTGAAGTGGTTATGAAATGAATTAACATTATATAAAGTCCCATTGAATAAATCAAAAACTGAAGTATAATCCTTATGCTACGGCATGGTGTACAGAACATACCATAACAGTAAAGTGAGTCTCATACTCAAACAAACTGTGCTGGTCTAAAGAATATTGGTTATTTGCCAATCTAACCTGAAATGGAGATGAAAATAACTAGTTGAAAAGAGAATTCTTACAGATAATAATTCGAACAATTAAGACCTGAAGGGATGTTCTTCCCATCAACTCCACAGAAGGTAAAAATATCCATTCATGATTGGAAATCAGAAAGAATCTACTCAACAGAGACAACGTGCATACCCAGAAAGTGTCTGAAATAAATATTTCCAAAGGGTTCATACTCCGAACTAAAACTATGTAGCGGATATCAAATTTTTTCCCTTGGAACAAAGCAGGGTGCTCAATATACTTCTGACATATCTTTGGTCCAGTCTCCATGAGCCGTATGATAGCAGATATATTACCAGTGACAGTTGTATCTATAGTTCGTGCCATGTTCCAAGGTTTTAAGATCCATAGATTGTTAAGTCCATCTCTTTTACGTACACAATAGTCACCAATAAGTTGAGACAGATGTGTTTCAAGATTATATGTAGGCTGCAGCCATTCAGGAGATCCATGCGCCTGTTAATAGGGGGTAAAAAGATTCTGTTATTTCACTTTCGGTAAACAATTATAATCAGTAAGACGATTGTCTTGAAGGGAGAGAAGATATTTTAAACTGACGGACGATAGACAAAGGAGGCTCATGTAGAAGAGTATTAACACTAGCATCTGCATCCAATGTGAATCTGGTTTCTTAACCTTCTGAATAGTCTCTGCCAAATGATGTTTCATCACAATACACGCCTCAAAAGGAAACTGGTTTATGTACTGATTGTCTGTTATTCCTGTAGCCTTCTTCATATCCTCATCCACCTGTGTACACGTCCATATGATTTCTGCATCCCTCGGATCAGTGGCTGAAAGCACCACCCAAAACCGAGAGAGAGAGAGAGAGAGATCTATCAGAGCATGGCAACATAAAATACACACACTCAAAATATTCTAAAAGGAGAGTTCCTGAACAAGTACATAAGAAGTTAAGCCTAGAAAGTCATGCAAAACTGAACTACAATACTTACTGATTACAAACTCAGGACGTGTCAACAGTTCTTCTACTTGAGGTATGTCAGTGTACACACGTAAAGCTGAGGTTTCACTACGATGCAGGCTTCTTGTTGGACATGAATCCAACGTCAGAAAGGTTAAATTCTTTGATTTCAAGCTCCGCAGGTGCTTTTCATACTCCTGCAGAAATTAATGTCAATCAATATCAAAATTTTCGACAAGCAACAATTTGAAAATAAATTATAGCTCAAACCAAAATCTAATGTTTTATTTGGTAACCATACTCTAATAAAATAATTCTCTGGTGTATTGAACCAAGCTGTGAGTCTGGCAGAACGTTGCTTGTCCTCTCCAATACCAAAAAGATAATCACGAGTGCACTCATAACCTTTTTGAACATTCTGGATTGGCCACAATATCGAGAAGCTGAAAATAATACAACCAATAAATTATTTTAATTACCGTGGTAGTTTCTCATACAAATTACACTAAAGGCAAAGATGTATCAGTACAAATTATGCATATAACATCTCCATGGACCTATGTAAAGGACCAAACGGAACATAGGCAAGTAAATCCATTACTCCAAAGAACCCAGGTTTCTGCATCTACCTTTCAAATTGCCAATTTTGCCATACAAACAACAAGAATGAAATTTCTACAGTACAATTATAAATTGGATACCAAGTTCATCTAAGAAGACGAGGAAAATTCGTAAGAAAAGCAGAAAAGCAAATGGAAAAAATAAAATAAAATGACAACCTCACAGCTGATGCTAATGTCCCCTCTGGCATGAAGAGAAAAGGTGCCACTCTGAAATTTGGCTCATCACTATGCCGCAAAGCTGAACCCAGCTCATCCATCACGTATCTACAAAGCAGAGGATGATCAGTTCAAAGTAAATAATTGGCTGTTTGTTCATGTACATGCAATTTATTTATTCTGTGACAATAGTGAACTCAATTATTCAAGAGATACAACAAAACACCAATCAAGCAGAACCAGAGTACAAAGATATGCAATGCTGCACTATAACTATGCTTTTCTATTTGAAAATACTTTAATAATCTACCGCTTATGTTCATGGACACTTTCAATGCATGAATCATCGAGAAATCTGTTTTCTTTGAGATTGGGAAACATACAGTACAGAGGTCTCGTCGATCTTCTCCTCATCTGCAAGTCGATATGTCATTAAATATAGCCACATTGCATTTATAACACGATCAGTAAGTGGCTCATCTGCAGTCCACTCAGGAAGACGTGGCTGAAGCACTGAGTCAACCACATCCTTTTCAGTTTCAAATATTTTTGATGCATTGACGCCATTTAGTACTGAAAGATTAGGAAGAGATTCAAGAATTTGTACAGCACTTTCTCCAAGAGGGCCAGGAATATCCACCTATAAAATAAGTTTACATTTTAATTATAGTCAAAGTGGTTTGTTCAACAAAGGAACCTTTATGCTAGAGAAAAGTATTCCTGAAGATATTACCTCCAGGGACTGTAAAGAAGGAAAATTCCTGAGTAACTGCAACAAGTCACTCACTGCGGTCTCTTCCAATGGATTTCCCCGAAGACTCAAGTATGAAAGACATGGAAGCTGAAGAGGGGTACATGCCTAAAAAAGAAAAAGAAAAAGTAACCATATCAGTGAATGCTGCTAGTTTACCAATCATCTAAGTATGTTCTTTGACTCTAAAAATCCACCATCATCCTTTACCATGTACGTAAAATAAAATATCAGACTTAGTCAGCAGAAATAGTAAAATGGTTCATGAAAAAAGTGAGAGATATATAGAAAATGCTTGAACCTTATTGAACAAATTGTGAATACATCTATTTGACAAATCAAGATCAGTGACTTGCTTCAATTTGTTGTCAGGCTGATCAACGCTCCCTGGATTTTCCTTATCATACACTCCTCCACAAAACCCCAATGCCCACTCACCATAATTGGAGGTAAACTTTGAGTTATATATTTCAAGATTCAGCAATTCTCGAAGAACTTTATCTGCCAATTCATCACCACTGAATTGACAAAAACAAAACAAAATCTCTGAGTAAAGAAGTGGCTCAGTTAAAGCAGACATTAACACCTTTCTGAATATTAATAAGCATGCTTACCAATTTTGTACAACTGGGTTATTGTTCAGCCATAGAGCTCTTAGATTTTTGAACTTGGTAACTTCTTGAACAACTACTTCCACATTCTCAAGCTTATTTCCACACAAGGATAATGCAAACAAACCCTGAAAGTATAAACATACTAGACTTTAGGGAAAGAAAAAAAAACTGCAAGATGTTCAAAAAATCGCTAGGCGGTAGGCGGGCGCCTAGGCGTTTCTTTTATTTATTTATTTATAATTATTTTGTATGATAAATTATAAATTTATTTTGAACTGCTTGAGGAGGAGAGAGAGGAGGGAGAGGCAGCTTGAGGTAGGATTTATTTAAAGTCTGGGAAAAAAAATAGGAGCCGACCCGCCCAGGCCGCCTAGCGACTAGGCAGCGCCTATGCCGATTTTTCGACCACTTCTGATTGGGTTTATAGAGCTTTAGAAATGACATACTGGGCACTTAGTAGACAAGTCTAAGGACGACAGCGTTTCATCATCGATGTCAAGGTCCTCAAGCTCCAACCACCTCACGTTCCCGTTGGCTTCAGTAATCTCATTTTCCAGTACCTCCAAAACGCAACGTTTTGCATTGCCCTCACTCAAACGGTCCTCTTCTGAATCAGAATTCAAATCAGCATCCACACACATTATCGCCGCCATCCTCTCAGCCAACCCAGGAACTTCCATTAACTACACAACCAAACAAACCACCAAAGATTAAAGCTTCATTCTTTTCGAATTTTTCTCGGAAACCAAACAGAGCACTAGAAAATCAGGACGTCTAGAGAAGTAAAGAACCTGCTTGTAAGCGTCGGAGAGGCGGAAAGTCCAGGCGTGATCGATAAGGAAGACGTCGGAGTGTTCGGGCATGGAGTCGGAGGTCAAAACAAGACGCCGCTGATGGCCGTCCTCGGTGGGTTCGATTTGGAAGTGGGACCCGCCATCGAAGCTCTCCGAAAGAAGCTTCTGGAACAGCTGGCGGTGCAGTGACTGAGGCAATCCGGAGGCCGCCAGAAGCAGACCGTGAACTTTGACGAAGTCCTCGTAGGTCTCGATTCTCGTCATTGCGATTGTCGACTGCGTACGACGAGGTTTCACTTGCTGTGTCTGATCTGATGAGTGTCTCACTGGTTTTGGCGGCTGCTGAGTGAGAAAAGAGGAGGAAGAGGATTCTAGTTTCCAGGAGAATTTAGATTTGGGTTGGGCTTTATTTGGTTCCGTTCTATTTTTAAGGGCTTAGCCGCGCGGCTATACTCTATAAATAGAATATTTTAGAACTATGGCAGCGTGGCTGTACTCTGTAAATAGAATATTTTAACATTATAGCCGCGCAGCGATACCGTTCAAATAGAAGACTTTAACAGTATAGCCGTCCGGCTAGACCCTTTAAATAGAATATTTGGGTTATTCACAGCAATGGTCCCTCAACTATACCCCAAGTTACACTTTGGTCACTCAACTCAAATATTAGTTGCAGAGGTCACTCAATTAGGTGTTTTGTTGTACCGTCCTACCGTCAAGTCTGTTACTTTTTCTGTTTAAAATGATGACGTGACAAGCATCTCTTAGATTATTAAAGGTCAAATGTGACTTTTCAATTAAGATTATTTGTAGCAATGATTCCTCAAGTATACTTGGAGTTACATTTTGGTCACTCAATTAGGTGTTGTGTTGCACCATTAGTCCCTACCGTTAGAGAGACTTGACGGTAGGACTAACGGTGCAACAAAACACCTAATTGAGTGACCTCTACAACTAATATTTGAGTTGAGTGACCAAAGTGTAACTTCAGGTATAGTTGAGGGACCATTGCTGCGAATAATCCAGAATATTTTAAACGTATAGTCGATCGGCTATACCCTTTAAATATAATATTTTAATCGTATAGCCGAACGGCTATACTATTTAAGCAGAATATTTTACAAGTATAGCCGGTCGGCTATACTATTAAATAGAATAATTTAAAAATATTGTTGCGCGGCCATACCCAGCTATACTTTAAGGGGGAATGCTAGCAACCTTCTCTCTAACCTTCTCCCCTCTTTGCTTGACATATGTCATTCTCTCTACACTTAAAACAATGTAAAATGGTTCATGAAAAAAGTGAGAGATATATAGAAAATGCTTGAACCTTATTGAACAAATTGTGAATACATCTATTTGACAAATCAAGATCAGTGACTTGCTTCAATGTGTTGTCAGGCTGATCAACGCTCCCTGGATTTTCCTTATCATACACTCCTCCACAAAACCCCAATGCCCACTCACCATAATTGGAGGTAAACTTTGAGTTATATATTTCAAGATTCAGCAATTCTCGAAGAACTTTATCTGCCAATTCATCACCACTGAATTGACAAAAACAAAACAAAATCTCTGAGTAAAGAAGTGGCTCAGTTAAAGCAGACATTAACACCTTTCTGAATATTAATAAGCATGCTTTACCAATTTTGTACAACTGGGTTATTGTTCAGCCATAGAGCTCTTAGATTTTTGAACTTGGTAACTTCTTGAACAACTACTTCCACATTCTCAAGCTTATTTCCACACAAGGATAATGCAAACAAACCCTGAAAGTATAAACATACTAGACTTTAGGGAAAGAAAAAAAAACTGCAAGATGTTCAAAAAATCGCTAGGCGGTAGGCGGGCGCCTAGGCGTTTCTTTTATT